AACTTTTTCAGAGGCTTTAGTGATTTTTAGGAATGGAAAGAGGTCACAAGGCCAAACAGTTTGAGAACATTTGCTCAAAAGTGATACACTCCAATGTTGGTTAAAAGAGAAAAAGTTTCCACTCAGACTTTGCTATGTTCCATACATTGTAACTGTCTGCCCATCATAGTGGTGTCAGAAGACTGAAATTGCTCTCAAACGCTTTTCTAGCTTACTTACTTCCAAATAAACAAGAATGATATTTCTTACCTGTGCTTGATAGTTTCCTATGAGAGAAAGGGATCTGGAAAGTTTGAGGTCCCTTTCTTTTCCTGAGGCTGTGTAAATGGGAAAAGGTGGCAGTCCCTTCAGCAGCCGAAGCCCGCAGCTAGGAATGCAGAAAGCATCAGAAAACAGAGCGAGCTGGTCGTCAGTTCTAATAGCCATCTGGGGGAGGAGACCAAGCCTCTGGGGGTGGAGACCAGGCGACTGGGAGAAAGGAGGAAGCAGATGGAGGGAGGAGACTGTTCTGGCACGCCTTGGACTCGCTTTCAAATGTGGGCTCTTTCCTAGGGCAACAGAACTTGAAGTAATGCCAGAGAATATGGGTACTTCTTTTAATGTAAAATCACTATTTTAATGAAATAATTTCTTCTGTAAAAGTTGGAGTTCTGGCCCTTCCAAAGCTTGTGCCTCTTTCAGAAGTACTGTACTTCCTAGCTCCCCTCCTTTTTTAAAGATTCTTTTCTTTCTTTCTTTTTTTTTTTTTAGACTTACTTATTTTAGAGAGAGAGAGAGCATGGGGAGGGTGCGGATGGAGGGAGAGGATCTCAAGCAGACTCCCCACTGAGCAGGGAGCCCAACGGGTGGGTGGGTGGGGGGCTCGATCTCATGACCCATGAGATCATGACCAGAGCTGAAACCAAGAGTCAGATGCTTAACGGACTAAGCCACCCAGGTGCACCCCCCGCCAAGCCCTTTTAAAAAAGCACCTGCTTGGTCAATTAGAAGCATCTTTTCTCACATTAATCTCTCTCTGTTTTGAGACTTTCTATTCACACTTCAGCACAAAACTTCTTCCTTATCCTGCAGTGCTGAATAATCGGCCCTATTAGAATAACCCCTATAATGTAATAATAGCACCTAAAATGTAACTTTAAAAAAGCAGAGTAAAATATTACAGCCTTGAAAATAATTAGCAGAGGGGCGCCCCGGTGGCTCAGTCGTTAAGCGCCGGCCTTTGGCTCAGGTTATGATCCCAGGGTCCTGGGATCAAGCCTCACACTGGGCTCCTTGCTCAGCAGGAAGCCTGCTTTTCCCTCTCTCACTCCCCCGTTTGTGTTCCTGCTCTCACTATCTCTCTCTCTGTCAAATAAGTAAATAAAATCTTAAAAAAAAAAAGTTAGAAGGGAATTCACCCACAAAAAAAGAAAGGAAGAAGATAATTAGCAGAAACGAAGTTCCTTGGACATTTTTTTCTTGAACATGTGCTAAATTGTATTACCTTGCTAGCAAGGGAATTAGGAAAGTAACTTTTCGTTTTTGCTTTTTTTTGCCAGTATAGAGCCTGTATAGAAACAGAGGGGTTCTAGAATTAGGAAGCAAAATGTTGGGTGTTTTGTTTTTTAACAAAATAGAGTTTTCATTTTATAAGGTCATAAAAACATGTCCACAGAAGTGATTACAAAGGAAGCCTGTGGTAGGATACTCGGAGGTGCTTGGTGCAGAGACTACCAGAAGAAAAATCACACATTTAAGAAGTATATGATAAGAATACACACATGATTGAAATTGAACTAAGATTTCCATCCTCCAACTATAGTGTATGAAAGCATGAAATGGAGTCAAACAGTGATCAGAAGCAGAGCACCAAACAAATTAATTTTAAATGGCCTATTGCTGATGATTTTTCTCCAGCTGTAAAGATGTAAAATGCACAATTTACCCATTTCTTAGTTTGGGGATAAACATTTTTTTGATACAGAGCAACCCAGATGTCTTCATGTCCTACCTATTTCACAGGATTATTTGTGAAGGTTAAATGAGATGATGATAGCCCTTTGAATATTTTTTTAAATTTTATTTTATTATGTTATGTTAGTCACCATTCATTACATCAGCCCTTTGAATATTTTAAAGCACTAGACAACTATAACTCTCCACACACTCTCATTTATTCTTACTCATTTAGTTTATGCAATGGAGATAACATTTTAAAAATAAAATAAAATGTCCCCAGTGTTCTCTTAATCTGGCGTAAACATTTATGTATTAGGTGGAATCATTTTTCCTGGAAATATTTTAGAAACTAGATAACTATCTCTTTAGATATCATACAATGTGAAGTCTGGAAGAGGAATTAGATCAGTATTTCCCAGACTTTTGGATTTAATGGACTATTGAGAATAATAACAACAATAATAATAATGCAGAAGAGATAAACACTGAGCAGGCAACTTTATATTTTGCCAAGTAAGGGCATTAAAAATCTTTATATTTTTATTTCATGAAAGACCGCTTTAACACCAAAAAAATTAGGAAGTACATAGTACCAGAGTAAAGGACAATTCTTTCAAGCAGATGCTGTGGCTTTATGAAAAACTCATTACTTTCCCCCCTCATTTTATCACACATGGTGAAAATTTCAATACAGATTGGCTATCAATCCTCAAACAGTGATTGGGATCCTATAAAGACTGTCAATAATAACTCCCTAATTATCTAGTCTAGTTTTATTAAAGGACTTATATTTCACAATATTAGCAAATCAAATTAAACAGAATATTTTCTGGGAACTTACTTAAAACAAATGGCTTTTTCACAAGTAGCTAATAAACATACACAAGTCTTTATGACAACTAACATTGAGATAAACCAAAGGGAAAAAACCTTAAGTTAGTTTGCTAAGGTGCAAGAGTGTGTACCTGGAATTTATGGACAATGTTATTGACCTTTGCTTTATGAGGTGATTTTTTTCCCTTCCACATCAACTAACTGGGCATAACCTTAGAATGTCTTTGAAATTGCGGGTCAAAGTCGCCCCATGAAAGCACTTCCAAGTATGTGAGCCATATATGTTAGAAAGTATTTTTTGAAAGCTGCCGATTAAGGGTGACTAAACCTATTGACATCAGGAAACGAATCTTCCAGAAGGGTGTGATTCTGAAAGTGTGGTTGCACCAGAGAAACAGGCGAAGGAATAGAGAGTCTGGGTCTGCAAGTTTCGCTTGCGAGCTAGGGGAACACTGGCTTCCTTCAGACTTCCTTCAAACACGCCATGTGGTATAGGATGTAAGTTTTATTTGAGAAGTAGTGTCGGGTGTCCCGTTTTGAGTTCCTTTACTGACATTCCAAACGGGTGGGACACACCCCACCCAGCCTCGCTCAGGCAATTCTTCTTTCCTGAGAGACTAGTCTCAGATTTTTCCCATCTTCTCCACACACTTGGAGGAAAGGAGACATTTTTGTTTCAGAGATTCCAAGTCCAGGGGAACAGCGGGAGATGAGAGGAAGAAAGCCACCTCTCCGCCAAATGCCGAGGGGCTCCTGGCCGGGCTTGAAGCCCCGGCTCTGGGCTCCGGGAGCCTGCGCAGCTCATCACGTGACTCACGTGATTCACGCGCTGACTGCTGGGAGCCCGCGGAGACTGCGCTCGCGCGTGCGAACCAGGTCTCTTCATTCCCGCGCTTTCGCTGAAGAGGAAGGTCACGACGCCATGTAGTAGACTGGGCTTGGGATGGGGCTGGAGGGATGCGTGCCCTTGAGAGTGTGAAACCAGGCAGTGAGAGGATGTCTCTCACAGGGACATTAGTGGGTCTGAAATACAAGCAGGGAGGAAAAGACAGCGGGGAGGGAAGTGAGAAAAAAGGTAGGTGAAATGGCCACAGGGGCCCACTAGGCGTTGAGAAGAAAGAGAAGACTAGGAGAAAAAAGTTGCGTAAGGTGCAGGGTCATTGCTTGGTAAAGTCTAGGCCACCAGAACATTGGATTGCATAGCCGAGGTTCGCGGCTGCAAATGGGGTGTGTCACAGGAGGACCCCCAGCCTTTTGACCCGGCCTGGATTCAGCGGGGGGCCCTAAGTTATGACAGAAAAAAAAATTTATTTTTGCAGAAACAGAATTACCTAACTGTAGAAATTTTCATTTGCTATACACGCACGTTCTGTTACTCTGAGAGAGGAGAGAAGAGGTGTAGAAGGAAAAGGGAAGAGAAAAAGGGGAAGGGAGAAGAGAACAGCTGTCACGTTGGCTTCTCTTTTCGAACTTCCCAAGGCAAAGTGAGCACTACTGTGCATGTATGTTTTCTGCGTGCTCCCATTACAGCACTTACATGCTTGAAAGGTACTGACAACGATGTAGGAGCACTATAGGGAATTTATTATTTGTTGTTGCTGTCTTTCTGTCTTGTTTATATGAATATGATATATGACTAATCAGACAGATTCATTACAGTTATCCAGATCATCATAGTTTCTCCAAAAAAAGCAAAGTAAATTGATAGTCGAATATAGACAGGCTCCTCATCGCTTAAGAGGTAGAGGCTATCCCCTTGTAGGTTTCTACATTTTTTCTTTGTTTAAGCGCACTCTTTCAGATTCCTAGGGAAATGATTTTCAGAGTTTATGGGAAAGTAATTTAAGAGTAAAATTCGATGCTATATTAAGGTAAGATAGGGCAGTGGAAACTCAGGAAATCTTGGTTCTAGTCTGGCTCAGTTTTACTTGTTTGAACTTGGTCAGCGTCTCTGCTTCTGTTTTCATGTCTGTGGGAAATGACACTGAATTAGATGAACTATAAGATATATTTCAACATTAAGACTTTTTGAAGGTAGAAGAATCTTAAATTCTGAAACAGGCAGAAGTGCCAAAGAGACTAGTTTTGCTGAGGGTGTAGATGAAAATCATAGGAACGGTAGGTTGGGCCCAAGTGATATAGGACTTGGGGTGCCGTACCATGGAAATTGAACTCATTCTGGAGCAATGAAGAGTGGGAAGGTTTTTGAGTTAAGGGAATATGGTAATCAGTTTTGAAAGATTGCCCAAATATCAGTTGATAGGATGGAATAGGGCAGGGAGAAAGTGGGTAGTTCGGATAAGTGACAGATAATGAGAGCCTAAATTAAATTGATGGGACTGGAAAGAAAGGGAAAGACTCAAAAACGCTATATAGCATGGAGTTCATACTTACATTTGGCATTCCTCTAAACTTGCAGCTCTCGCCTCCAGAATATGATGGCAAGTCACATTGTAAAACCTGATACTAGAAATTGCAAGAGACCAAGAGAACTAGAGGTAATCCATATGCTCCTGGAGCCTTAATCTTTAGTTTTATTTTTTATGCTTCTCAAATTTTTTTCTATTTAAGAAAGTTCTCCTGATGAATGGAATTTGATGTTTTCATATCCCCAGAAGTGGGATTATCCCAGCAGGAACTATGTTGACTCCAGCTGCTTTTTCACTAAATAGTATAGGCTTTCAAGAAACTATTGGGAGATGAAATTTCTTTGTTGTAATTGGTGATGGAGAAACAGAAATGGGTTCATGCCTATATAATACATAGGATTTTAAGTAATTGTTTTGCTCTAATAAGTAGGATACTTAGGTACTATAGTTGCTGATATTTTTAATTAAGAGCACTGTATTCTGCCCTTCTTCTCTACTCCTCCCACTACTTGATCTGTTTGCATTTGGGACGTTATTGCTTCCTTAAAGATTATGTTATCTTGCAAAATTTTGCAAGCATTTGCCTATTGTCTGAATGAAAGTTTTACTATATTGCTATGGAAACATCTACCGGTTCAAGATACAGGAAACTTTTTCATCAAGGGATTAACCATATTCAAAGTCTAATGTAAAATCAAAGTAATAATAAGTATATTGAACAAGGTACTTGTTAGGCCTAAAAGTTTTCTCGATAATAAAACTTCAAATGACTAATTAGGACATGAATGCGTATAGTTTCTAGCATGTGTGCTTTTTTCCTGGAAGATGTTTTATTTGCCTTTTTGGCGGACAGAATGCATTTGTCCTAAGGATCTTGTTGACTATCTGTTTTCTTTCTTCTATTAGCCTCAAATGCCAGAGAGTCCACAACTGTCCTCTCTTGGAAAATCAGAATCCTCTTTCTTGGAAAGCTCTGGACTATTTTATAAAGATGAATCCCTGGACAAAGATTTGAATGGTGATATACAAAATGCGTATATTTCTAAACATTGATTTTATAATACAGAAGGTTTATTATAGTTCACAACTTACTCAGTGATTTTTTTTTAACAGATATGAGCAAGGAAATTAATCTAATGTTGTCTACATATGCAAAGATCTTAAGGCAAGTACTTATAGCATATCCTTTTGAGTCTTTCTCTTAGAAATAATTTTTTTCTGGAAACTCCATAATGGGAAGTTTTTAGTTCAGTGGCTGCAGACCTATCCAGTAATTGTAATTTCAGAGTTTTTTTTTTCTACCTTAGTTTTTTAAAATAGATTAGTTGGTTATTTTCAAAGAATAACCCCAACTTTTCCACTCAACATCCTTTGTTTTGTTATTACCAGAGCTAAATACTAGGCTGGATGTATTTTGGTCTCTAATAAAATTCTAACATTTAATGAAAAACTTCTTTGAGAAAAATGCCATTTGTTGAAGTTAATGATAAGAGTGATATTAAAGATAAAATAAATATATTTATGAAATATTTAAATATTATGTCTGATATTTGAAGAGTGTATTTAAATATTTTATTGGCCTGAGATTATCATGTTTATAAGGTGTTCTTTTTGTTGTTGTTTTGTTTTGTTTTTTAAGGTGGATTTTTTTTAACTACTGGACAATCATTGTATTTGGATGATGGTTTATGTGGTTGTTAAAATAATGTATATAGTTTAATATTAGAATTATAATGTATTATAAGATATATAGTCTGCAGTGTCAGGAGACTTTGAATAGTCAAAAATATTTACATGACTAATTTAACTTTTACTGAAGACTGTTTCTAAATTAAGGAAGTTTTTTGATGTACAAAGCTATTTAAATGAAGTAGCTAACAAGTATAACATAATAAAGAACATCACTGTGATAGTCACTAGACATTCTATTTAGTTTAACATAAAACTTTTTTTTCCTCATTAGTGAGAGAGCAGCAGTAGATGCATCTTATATTGACGAGATAGATGGACTCTTCAAAGAAGCCAATACTATTGAAAACTTTCTAATACAAAAAAGAGAGCTCCTGAGACAGAGGTTTACAGTGATTGCAAATACACTGCACAGATAAAATTGTGTACTTAAAATAATCTGAGAATTTAAGCCCATTATTGTTGTATTAAAAGAATGACATTTATGCTCTGAAAGCTCTCTAGTTGTTAAAGAAAATGTGTGCCTTAAACATAGAAGGGGAAATTCCTTGAATTTCTTTTCTAGATTTAAAAGGGACTTTAAACTGGACATTAATATGAAGCATGTAGTTTTTTTTTTGAGGGTTAAATATTCGGCATATTTCATAAAAGTGTAAATTATTTAAATTGCATATAGATTCTTTTTTTCCTTAAACCTCCTAGCCTTTCTTAAAATTCTAAAAGAGGACTCACTGAGTTATTTTGATAATGTTTAACAATATTGCACTTTTCTTTTAAAATACTCTGTCTAAATAGCAGCTAGATAGCTATGGAGATAGTTTTAAAATGTTTTTCATAGTCAGTATTATAAAAAACCCTAAAACTCAAGGTAATTTGTCCAGTTTCACAATATGTAATAAAATATAACTATAAGGTATTGCTATTTAATGTTACCATTTGATTATTTTCACTATTAGTTATTATATATGACTAATAAAAATTCTTGGTTTAAAATTATTTCTTGTGGTAAAAGTGATAAAATAAAAACCAGAAATTACTAACCAAAACCTTACATGAGTTGGCTTTTTTACATATCAACCGTATCAATGGTGCAGTTAATAAATTATATTTAGAGCCTTAGCAACTGTATGGTATGGGACAAAAATTAGTGATCCAGAAGTAAAAAGATTGCCTAAACAACAAGGTAAACTTGATGAGTCATTTCAAACCTATTATAATTCATAAATTGAATTTCAATTAGAGGATCTCTAAAACTCACCTAGCTAAAAAAAAAAAATTCTCTAAAAAAGGGTTAGAAGGTACTGCTATGATTTTATTGAAGACTTTTAATATGTTATATAATTATATATGATAACTATTATATGTGATAACTATATTAATCAGGTTTTTAAAAATCACAGTATGCATTTTTCAATCATATAGATAATTCAATCTATTTTATATATATTTTACCAATATAAGCAGTCACAAATTTGGACATATTTACAAATAGCACCACAGGGAATTTGGTATTCCTCTGGTGTATAGCATATTTGCCTTGCTGCCTTCTAAATGTTAAAATCTCATTTGACAACTAAAGCGGCAACCAGATTACTATTTTAAGGCATATATACCACATTACATAAATACTCATATAAGAAAGGATTGAAATGGTAAAATAAAATATTAACTAAAAATATTGGTTAAGTGGAAAAAATTAATTAGGTTTGTAAAGGGATATGCTAATGGTGCAGGGTAGGTTGGAGGTCAATGAAATAACTATTAGTAATGGAATTTTAAAATACTAAATGTAAGCAGAAGACTATATTTGAGTTGATATGACATGTCACCTGGATTTTGATTTACTCTGTTAACTTACAGAATTTTTTAATGTTCTAAATACAAAGACGTCTCTCCTGACACATCATAATTAAACGTTTCTGAGTTATTTTTTCTAAGCATTTATTACTAATGAGAAGGACAAGGCTAACATTGTTTCGGAGTGCATTTCATAACATGCTTGTTATATCTTGATGGTGTCACCGTTGTTCAGCATGTGGTTCTTTCCTATGCTGGTTCAGAGAATTGGTTTGATCATTTCATTTGGTCTGATTAAGACTAGGGAACTGATTTTTAGTCACAATGTGTTTACTGGTCAGAACAGCTACCTCCTAGGGTAAAAGTTCCTGAAAGCCTAATTAAGACTGATTTTTACCAAATTTTGATGTCTTTGGTACCATCCACATAAACAAGAATAATTATCTCTGAATAATTAACAACTGCAGATATGTTATTGCCCTTTAATTTACACTTCTAATATTACTCATTTCAATAAAATTTCACAAGTTTATAAATTATTTCTCACGGGTTACCAATAAAAATAGATATTGAATGTCTTGTACATCATACTCTGCTAGGCATTGTGGGGAATACAGAATAGTTTGTTTTTTTTTTAAAGATTTTATTTATTTATTTGACAGAGAGAGACAGCAAGAGAGGGAACACAAGTAGGGGGAGTGGGAGAGGGAGAAGCAGGCTGAGCAGGGAGCCCGACGCAGGACTCGATCCCAGGACCCTGGGATCATGACCTGAGCCGAAGGCAGCCGCTTAACCGACTGAGCCACCCAGGGGCCCCTGGAATACAGAATAGTTTAAGGTACTCTTCGTTCTCCCTTCTGACAGTTGTCACCACGGCTTTCTTGAAACATCTTACATGTCTTTGCTAGGAAGTCATGATAGGTAAATGTTAGAAGTATCTCTGTGCAGTGCTAGTTAACTCCTTTTAGTGTGAGTTACTAGAATATGTTGGCAAAGGGGTCAGAAAGGTAGTGAAATGGGTTTTTGATAAGGAAAGAGGGAGGATATTTCAGGCAGGGGAAAGTTTGTTAAAATGGCACTGAAGAACAAAAATACATGGTATGTTGGATAAGCTTTTTCCTGAGCTGAGAATTCACAAAGGGCAATAGTGCATCATCTAAACTGCTGGAGAGCAGGGACTGAATCTTGTTTCCTTATATTCATAACTTGTAGTACAGTATTTGATATATTGGTGCTCAAAAGTGTTGGTTATGTTAATAAAAATATACGTGGTTATACATTTATTAAGGGCATACTTCCACAGAGCCTTATTCATACTAGATTGTCAGAAAATGTTTTGTAAATTAAATAAATGGAAAAGAAAAGGAGGGATGAAATGTTAGAAGGCAGAGGGGCAAAAGATGGAAAGGTAGGTGTGGCCAGATTGTAGAGTCCTTTGTTGATAAACTACATTTGGACTTTATTCTGTAAGGAAAGAGATGTGAATCTTTCAGAAGAGAAGTGGCATAATGAAACTGAGCCATGGATCAAGGTGCTTAATTGTAATGTGAGAAGAGGTTTGAAAGAAGAAAGTTTAGGAAGGGAGACCACTATTGGTGGTCCAATTTCAGAATTTCAAACAGCTGCTTATCATAGGTAGGTAGTTGGGCTACTTCTGACAATGCGACCGACCTACGGGAGAGATTGCAGGTGTCTGGAAGCCCCATCCCTTGTCTGCCCTCCCTGACTTCCTCCCCCATTCCCTCCTATTCTGTCAGTGAGCCAAGGACAGCCCAGGAAGTGAGTGGGAGGTTTTGGAAATCACGGGATCTGCTGCTGCTAAATTCGATACCAGAATGTTTTTTCAGACCTTTCTCCATTTTGTCAGCAACCTTTCTACCGTTGCAGTAGGGTTCCTTCCTATGGTAGTACCCTGGATCCCAGGTAGGGGATTTGCCCCTTCCTCCTCTTCCTAGTCGCTCAGGCTTCCAATTCTGTGCCTCTTTCCTGAAGAGTACTGGGGGCTTCTGAAGCTTTTCACTCTGTGTGTGGCAGATACAGGCAGCAACCCCACAGAGCTGCGAGTTAAGGAAGACTGAGTCAAGATTTGTTTACTTGTCAGGAGAACAGTCTTTCCATTTGTATATTTTATATAACATGGGGCAGGATCAGGGTTTAGGGATTCTCTTGGATCTGCAATAGGAAGAATATTCACTGTTTAGACCCTTCTCAGTTGAAAATCATTGCTACATGTCCTAATGTAAATGTTTTGTTCTTCTGTTTGCATTCTGGGGGACTGCCTTTAAAACCTCTGGTTTTGTTTTGTAGCTTTCTATTTTAGCTACTATTGTTACATGATTTTATTTCTTGAAATTGGCTGATGTTGAGCTTTCAGAAATCATACTAATATGCACTATAAACTTTAAAATTATTTAATTCAATAATTTAGTACTTGCAGTATGCAAGGCAGTGTGTTAGGTCCTGGAGTGGGAGGAAAAACAAGTGACCCTTTACTCAAGGAATACCAGTAGTAGAAGTTATAAATTGTATTCATCTTTATCGCACAAGAGAGAGTAAGATGAGTGCCGTAACAGAGCTGAAATAGATGCTGTGTGAGTTCAGACTAAGGAGAATCAGTTCTTGTTATAGGAAATGGGAATGTTGTGTTTAAGAAGCAGGTGATATGTGCACTGGATCTTGAAGGATGAGTAGGGTAAGTGAATTTCACCTGGAGGAGATGGGAAATATCCTGGGTGAAGAGAAGGGTATAATTGTGACGAGGAGAGGAGAATGGGGAGTGGTTTAGTTTGGCTGGAGTGGAAGGCATTAGTGAGGGGGCACCTGGACAGGTAGGTTGGTGTGAGATTGTACAGTGCCTTCAGTGCCTGGCCAAGCAATTTAGACTTTACTTGGTAGACAGTGAGGAGTCATTTGTGAGGGCTTTTGGAGGATTATTTGATACAATCATATCTGTACTTAGGAAGATTAATTTAGTAGCAGTGCTTCCTAACCTTTTTCACATCATAGCACACATAGAGAATGATAATATTTTTACCTCACACTGGAGTAAATTGGATGGGATCTGGAGCCCCATGAACTGTTTAGAGCTGGAGGCAATTGGCCTGTGGCCTCTAGCCATCCCAAGGGATAAAGGGATCAAGAGGCCCAACCATTTGGAGACCCCCATAGTGTTTAGCTTCCCTATCTGGTTTCTCCTTCCAGTTAAGAGACTCTGATAATATTATCTAAGAGGTTGTGAGGGCCTAAATTAGGACAGTAGAAAGAATGTGACTGATGGGTAAGAGCAATTGAAGCATTGATGCTGAGGAGGACAGGTTTGGGCCAGAAGAAAAATGGGGGGGGGGCGCTGCCCAGGTGGTGTGGACTAGCACAAATCTTTACAAAGGATTTGCCCGAGGCACCCTTGTAGACTTCTGAGCCCTAGTAATTTATACTAGCCCCCCTATATCATTCCTGTAACATTCTCTTCCTGGCCCTGTCTGGTTATAGTCAGAATTTAACCTCTTAGTGAATGTGAGGGGACAGTGAAGAAGAGGAATTAAAGGCCCACGCAGAGATTTTGAAGCTAGATGATTTTGCAGGTGGGAAAAATGGATTTCGAAAGGGGAAAATGAAGAATTCTCTTTTGACATGTTGAGAGCCACCTGCAAGAAGTACTTGGTGAAATTAAGGGACTAGATGAGACTACCAAGGAGAGTGTGCTGAGATTTTTATAAAGAGTAGAGGTCCAAGGTCAGACTCAGGAGGTGATAAGGGGAAGAGGAGCACTTAAGGGAGTTGACATTTGGAAATTATCTACTACCATATTTAGTTATGACAACAAACAAATGGGAAGTATTATCTTCCTTTCATTCCCATTAACCCCATTTTATCATTGAAAAACTTGAGGCTCAGAGTGATTAGTAACTTACCCAAGATTGTCAGCTAATAAGTGAAGCTAGCATAAAGCAAACAAAGAGGGAGCAAGGAAGTTAGAGAAGTGCAGTATTTTCAGGAACCAAGAATAGAAAGGGATTTAAGGAAGTATAGATCACAATATCAAGTACCGTGGAAAGTTTGAAGAGTATATAAAAAACTGCCAATAACATGCTATGGAGTATAGAACATATAGACATGTAAGTTTTTTTTCTAAAATGTGAAGTGTTTTAAGTTCATGAATCTCTATTCAGACAAATGTCCAATCAGGGTATTCAATTGAATTCTACTTAAGTGAGAAGACTAAAGTAACTGACCTCAGGACATTTATTTTAATGTAAGAGGAGAGTGAGATGAATAGGCATAATATAAATAAAAGTAGTAAGATAAATGCCTAAGCGTTTCAAAGCATCCTCTTTATACCTCTAGTATTGTGGTTTTCAGATTTTTTTTTTTTAAAGATTTTATTTATTTATTTGAGAGAGAGAGTGAGAGAGAGAAAGAGCACAAGAGAGGGAGAGGGAGAAGCAGACTCCCTGCTGAGCAGGGAGCCCGATGCGGGACTCAATCCCAGGACTCCAGGATCATGACCTGAGCCGAAGGCAGTCGCTTAACTGACTGAGCCACCCAGGCGCCCAGTGGTTCTCAGATTTTAATATGTCTAAGAATACTTCCTTGCTGTATCCCAGAAATTCTGATTAGGTCCAGGGTGGAGTCCATGAATCTGCATTTTAGCAGTAATACCATGTATTTCTGTTCGAAGTGACCTTTAGACCATACCTTGAGAAACAGTGCTCAAACAAAACACTGATTATAGTATAAATGATCTGTTTATATGTTCATTTACATCGGGTTTGAGTACTTTTTATCCCTCACCAGTTACTATTTTATTGAATGTATAAATAATTCGAAGGAAGATGATATTACATCTTGTTGGTTTGAGCATTAAAAGCTATGTAAATAATGATAGCTAACATTTTTGAGTATTTACTATGTTCTAAAAACTTTACATAACCTAACTCATTTATTATTCATAGCCTTAGAAGTAATAAGAATTATTATTATCTCCACCTTAGAAAAGAGGAAACAGAGCACAGAGAGGTTGCCTTGCTCAAGGCTATTTACTTGGAAAATGGCAGGTCAGGATTTGAACCCAAGCAATCTGGAGCCTGGCAGAACCTGGGCCAGTACTCTTATTAAATATTACACTACAATTCCTCATAAAGGAGGTAGATTTGAGATAGAATTTGAACAATACTAACATTTCCTTAGGGATAGATTAGTCAATTTTATTTGGGAAAGCAGGAAATAGTTGGGTTTGACTGAATTGTTACTTACAGGAAAGTAGAAGGAATCATGTACTTTAAACTGAATTTTATAAAGATTTGAAAGAAATGAGATGATAGATATAACATTGTAAAATATTTTGCTAAAATAATGCAAATCTCACTTCTTCAGAGGAATAGGGTCTCTGTGTATTAGTTTTTCTAGTTTAGACTTCTATATTACTGTTAAAATTTTATGAAATAAAATAAAGCACTGTCTAATTAATTACATATCTGACCACCCCTCTGTGTTAGGTAACACTACCTTGTGAACACCAAATAAATATGAAGTAAAAGGGATAATTTTCAGCTTCTTATATAATAATGATTTTTTTTTCTTGTGGCTTTTGAACTTTAGGTAATTTCAGACCAGGTCTCACTACATAATTTAGTTCATGACACCCTTCTTTTAGAAAATGCCATGCACGTTCATGCATATGTCATTAAAATGGAAGAAATTGAATTACAGTTCCTACTAAATTCTCATAAATTGCTGTGAAATCTTTGGCATCCCGTTCTGGTGTAATGTAATTAGGATAGTGATGAATAGTGGTCATTTTTTATCATAACAGTGAGGTTGCTTTTAGCACATCTGAGGTTAATACGTAGATTCAGTCTTGTGAAAAGAGGAACATTTTTCAACCATGAGAAATGATAATAATAATAATACAGTCCTGAGTTAATTCTTAGGCAGATTTGTACTGCAAGAATACAAAAAAAAGGATTGTTGTAGTTAAAAAATGGAGAGCCAGAGAGGTGACAGTTTGAGAATGAGGATGGAGAGGAATTTGGAGACTATATTTGGTGATGGGTTTACTTTTCCCTTACCAGGAGGTAAGAGTATTGTCTATGGAGAAACAGGCATCTTGTACAATTTTTTTGTGCTCTTGATTTCCTCTTCGCAGTACCATGGAAAGTACTCATCAGAAGAAGGCAACCTTCGGTAAACGTGAGAAACTTCCATGTATTGCACCACTCCTAACCACGGTGGAGGAGACGCCACAGATGGTCTCTGCTCAAGTCCGAGGACATTTTCCCAAGTGGCTCAGTGGCTATCTACTTCGAATTGGGCCCGGGAAATTCGAGTTTGGGAAGGATAAGTAAGTCTTGATTTTGGAGAACAATTTGGATTTTTTAGCATGGCTGGTTCAATAGAATATGCTTTAAATCTGTTTTCTCTCTGAGGCTAACATTGTCATGCAGCTCCTTTGAATACAGGTGAGAAAATTGTAGTCTACAGAAAAAAAAAGAGAGACTTAATTCTTTAAAAAAAAAAAAGTCCTGACTTTTCTGCTTTGCAGAGTATTACGAATTTGTAGTCCTCTGAGGGCTTATGGCAAAAGAGAAGTGTCAGGAACTGTCTGTATGACTACCGAGCTGTGTTTCACCACAAGTTCCTGAAGGAAGGGGCAATGTCTTCACCTCATACAGCTCCCCTGCCCAGTGCTCCCCAGACACAATGGCTCTTTCAGTTCCTTAAACTGGACACACGTATTTTTGCTCAGGGTGTTGGCATTGGCTCTCATCTATCTTCCCAAGTCTGATTCTTGTCATTCAGGTATCAGCTCATATCTCACGTCCTTTGAGCCTTCCCTGATCCCCAAATCTAAAAATGCTATTATTAAATATATTACCTATTGGGGCACCTGTGTGTCTCAGTCAGTTGAGCATCTGACTCTTGGTTTCTTGGTTTTGGCTCAGGTCATGATCTCAGGATCTTGAGATTGAGCCCAGTGATGGGCTTGGCACTCAGCTCAGAATCTGTTTGTCCCTCTCCCTGTGCTCCCCTTGCTCGTGTGCATGCTCTCTCTCAAATAAATAAATAAAATCTTTTAAAAAAATGGTATTACCTATTTTAATTCTCTGCACAGCACTATCAAATGCCTAGTATTTTTTTGTTTTTGTTTTTATGTTTGTTTACTGACTGTGTTCCTCCACTAGAATATAAGTTCCATGTAGGCCCTGCTCTTAAATAGCTCTCAATAAATACATGTAAATAAATGAAAAACACCAATAACTCTTATGTATATTATTTCTCTGTACATTTAGTAGAGACATGAAGTGATGTAAAGAAACCCCTATGGTAAGGAAGGAATCTTCTTTGCTTTAAACATTTTTCAATATTAAAAACTTTTTTTCATTATAAAAGTGTTTACTTATATAAAACTTTCTGAAATATAGAACAGAGTGGAGGAAAATGTGGACCATATCCTCTGTTAGCACTTTGGTGTATTTCCTGCTAGTCTTTGCCCCATTTCTATAGATTGGTTTTAAATAATTACAGTCATATTGTATGTAGAATTTTTTTATTGAAATATAATTGACATGACATCATATTAGTTTCAGGTGTACAACATAATGATTTGATATTTGTATGTGTTGTGAAATGGTCACCACAGTAAGTCTAGTTAACATCTGTCATCACACATAGTTACAAAAATTTTTTCTTGTGATCAGGACTTTTAAGATTTATTCTCTTAGTAACTGTTAAATATGCAATATAGTATTATTGACTATAGTCACCATGCTATATATTACATTTCCATTACTTATTTTTGTACCTTTTGACTTCCTTCACCCATTTCACCTGCCCTTACTCCCCGCCCCCCATATCTTGCAGCCACCAATCTGTTCTGTGTGTGTATCTATGATTTTGGGGTTTTCTGTTTTCTGTTTGGTTTGGTTTGGTTTTTAAAGATCCCATACATAAATGAGATCATATGATATTTGTCTTTCTCTGTCTGATTTATTTTATTTAGCAAAATGTCCTTACCATGCTGTCACAAATGGTATTCTTCTTTTTTATGACTGCATAATATTCCATTGTATATACATATACCACATCTTCTTTATGCATTCATCCACTGGTGGATACTTAGGTTGTTTCTGTATCTTGGCTATTGTAAATAATGCTATAATGAATGAGGGGGTGCAGATATCTTTTGGAGTTAGTGTTTCTGTTTTCTTAGATAAGTACCCAGAAGTATAATTACTGGATTATGTGGTAATTCTGTTTTTAATTTTTTGAGGAAACTCCATACTGTTTTCCACAGTGGCTGTACCAATTTGCATTCCCACCGACATTGCATGAGGGTTCCCTTTTCTCAACATCCTCACCAACATGTGCTATTTCTCATTTCTTTGATACTACCCATCCTAACTGTGACGTGCTGTTGTGGTTTTGCTTGCATTTCCATCATGATTAGTGATGTTGAACATCTTTTCATGTGCCTCTTGGACATCTGGATGTCTTCTTTGGGAAAATGTCTATTCAGATCTTCTGCCCATTTTTTAATTGATTGCTTATTTATTTTTTATTTTTTTAAAGATTTATTTATTTATTTAACAGAGAGAGATACAGCAAGAGAGGGAACACAAACAGGGGGAGTGGGACTCCCCGCGGGGAGCCCTACGTGGGGCTCGATCCCAGGACCCTGGGATCATGACCTGAGCTGAAGGCAGACACTTAACGACTGAGCCACCCAGGCGCCCTTTTTTATTTTTAAAAGATTTTATTTATTTGACAGAGAGAGAGGGAGAGAGAGAGAGCGAGAGAGAGAGCACAAGCAGGGGGAGTGGCAGGCAGAGGGAGAAGCAGGTTCCCCACTGCACAAGGAGCCTGATGTGGGACTCGATCCCAGGACCCTGGGATCATGACCTGAGCTGAAGGCAGACGCTTAACCAACTGAGCCACACAGGTGCCCCCGATTGTTTATTTTTTTGCTGTTGAGTTGTGTGGGTTCTTTATGTTTTGGATATTAATTGAGTTTTTTTGCCCTGATTTAAAAACTTTCACACTATCATAAGCCTTTTAATCCATGTTGCTATGAAATCTGAATGACCGTTATTTTTGATGGCTGGATGGGAAGGTGGTTTGGAGGCAGAGAAAAAGGTGAATCAGCTGGCCTATAGATTCCCCTGGTCCTAATCAGTAGAGTTGTGCTTTCTTCTACTTACATATCTGGATTCCATGCAAGTTATAATTTGAAGAAAGATTCTAAGGCAAAAAGAAGGGGGAGGAGGAAGAGAAAAATAAAACTACTGATCCAACCCCGAGAGAGTAACAGCCTCTTGCAAAAAGCATATGGTCTTTCATCTGCTGCTGAAGTAGCTCTAGTAATTTTTAAAACCAAGCAGCAGAGCTACTCAGGGCCTAGGCTTGCACTACAGGCCTCTTTAAAGGTAAACGTCTTCGTGGGGGAGGTGGTGGTGTGGCTGGTCGTCCTGAGTGTCTGCTTTGTACTTCAAATCCATTTCTTCTGAGCCAGCAGTAGGCATTTACAGCAGGAACAGGGTCTGGCCTTCCCCTTGGGTGTGAGGTACAGATGCCTTCAGGTCAAAGAGGAGGTTTGGTTTAGTGCTCGGCTCCCCAGATTAGACTTCCTGGGCTGGCAGAGACCTAAAGCCTGGGCATCCCAACCTGCGAATGAGAGTAGCCCCACTCAGTCCTGAGTCTCTGGTCCCTTTGTGAGATGCCGCCATTCAGGAGTCTCTGTCAACATGCCGACATAGTAGCGACAGGAGAAAGGCCCTTCTTCAATCAGAAGTATTTTATCAATGATTTCATCCATGATATCAATGATTGCATGCTTATCAGTTTTTTAAATGACTTGAGTCTGGGTAGAATAGGAACTTGGTGTCTCCAGGACATGTTTAGCATTCCTTGTACTTTCCAGCGTCCTGCAGCGTGTCCCTTCCTGAAGCCTCCTTCATTCTGTTTGTCCTTCTCACTATTAACGGCAAGCAGGCCGACTTCATAGTGAAGAGGGGCAATTGGATTGGAGCTCCTTCCACTGCCCTCTTCCCCACCTCCAAACTTCTCCACAAAAGTACCTTCTCCTGCCTCCTCGTGATCAGAGGTGGGAGTGGCCCTTGTCCTCTCCTCTGAAACCTTGCCCCATCATTCACACCATCCCCTTGTGTCTGTTTCTCCTTCACCTACCCCTCATCTTGGCCTCAGATGTCCTCTCATCCTAAAACACCCTCATTCCCTATTCCACCTTCCCCTCCAGCTAATACCTGTTCTCCTCCCCTCACTGCCTCTGTTTACCTGCTTCCTGGTGTCTTCTCAGTTCGCTGCCCTCTGACTTTTAACCCACCACTCTACAGTATCTGTTCTCAGAAAGGTCACCAAAGCCTGTTAATTATTAAACAAGATGGACTTTCCAGTCCTTAGCCTGACTTTTCAATAGTGTTCGACATTATTGACCACCCGTCTTAAAATTCTCTCATCCCCAGATTCCTCCATAGCAATTTCTCCTGATTCTTTTCTTTTCTTTTCCTTTAAAAGATTTTATTTATTTATTTGAGAGAGAGAGAGAGAGCGTAGTGCGCACACACACGGGTTGGGAGAGGGGCAGAAGGAGGGGGAGAAGCAGACTCCCTGCTGAGCAGAGAGCATGATGCTGTGCTTGATTCCAGGATCCTGAGATCAGGACCTGAGCCTAAGGCAAATACTTAACCCAACTGAACCTACCAGGCACCCTCTCCTGATTCTTTTTCTATCCATCATCAGATTGCTCATTCTAAAATTAAGTTTTTGTTGCTCATCTCACTTCACTTGTGCCTTTGATATTGATACATCCCAGCCTCTGCCCTGAGTATTCCTCTTCTCTTATTATACGCTTTCTTTGGTATAGTAGAAATAATACATTCTTTGGAGTAAGATGGAGTGGATTCAGATCCCATTTTGCTATTTATCAGTGCTGTGGTCTTAAGCAAGTTTTCCCATATGAGAAATGGGGCTAATTATATAGATTTTAATGACTGGCTATGAGAATTAAAGGAGACAATGAGTGCCTCATTCAGTGGCTGACAAGAATCGGCAGTCAGTACATTTTCATTTTCTTCTTTCCTTTTCTCCTTCCCCACTCCCTTTTCTGCCAAATTACTTTTTATATTTCACCTTACTTTTTGGGGTATTGTAAGGTCCCAAGATTTGGGGTCAGCACTGAATTCAAATCGCTTTCCTGCCTCTTACCAGCCCTGTGACCCTGCGCATGTTTTTACTCTGTACGTTGGCTCCCACATCTTTAAAATTATTCACAGAATCAATGCATATAAACATTTCATATTTATATATAAATTAAAATATATTATA